AAGAGCGTTAAGATGTGTGTGAGAGGAAACGGTAAGAAAGGGAAAAGAGAATGACAGTGAAAAGGAAGATAGCGAAGACGGATAAGTGAGAAAAGCGTAAAAAAGTGTGAATTAATATTTAATTATCATATTATGGAAGATTTTAGAAAAAAATATATGCTGATTAGATACATTATATAAGATGATTAGATACATTAAATCATTAAAAAAACATTACACACACTAACATGTATTTGACATACCTACACACACATATAATCTTTTATTGTCAAACTTTTGTTATTGTTTAAAGTTTGTGGTCAAATTGAGAATATGTAGATTAATATTATTTGTCTTTAATATTATTTGTCTAAAGTGTAGTGTTGGCGAAATCTGTGATTACAGAACAATGATTATAATGGATATCAAATGTGAAAATAGAACCATAACAATGTTCAAACTTATAATTTCAATCAATTATGGTCGAATTTCGACCAAAGGGCGATCACTAATTTATTGAAAGAGAGGCATTTTTTAACATATATTTTTATAGCCTTGTTTCAAAAACGCTTACTCGTCTTACCTCGTCAAGGCAAGATAATAAATACTATTCTTATACTAATGTTTGGACTAAGCATTTCGCGGCAGAGCCGTCCGTAGTCGGGGTGCCGAAGAGCCGTGAAACGCCGACCACTGGCCCACTTCATTTTGTTTCAAGAACTCAAATCAATAATTATTATAATTTAACCAGCAGGGGGTGCGGGTGCGAGGGGTGGGGAGCGCATGTCCCGGCACAGAGAGGCACTCGGTCAGCGGTCGGGGGGCCACTGTACCTCTCATTTATACAGATACGTTTGCCGTGATTGATTTTCAAAACACTATAAACAAATTCCATTAAACTTTGATTATTGTGGACCTCACGCAATCTAACTTCCATCCGTTTACAGTTTGTGTCAGAGCGCAGACCTAAAATCTTTCTTGTTGCACTTTTACTCATATTTTCACTCACTCATAAGATGTATTATATACTAGTTGACCAGGCAGACTTCGTAGTGCCTCAATCGATAAATAAAAGATCTAAACTTTTGTCTAGAATAAACTTAAAACAAACAAAACGAATCCGTCCGACGGGGGACACATCAAAGGGAAAACATAATTGTTATTTTTATTTAATTCCGACCATTTTCATATTTATCTACCTTTTAAACCTTCCCTGAACTTCCACATATAATTCAAAACCAAAATTAGCCAAATCGGTCCAGCCGTTCTCGAGTTTTAGCGAGACTAACGAACAGCAATTCATTTTTATATATATAGATAGATATTCGTGTTAATTCTAATCATGATAAATCCATCCTTCTATGACGCTTACTTTAGAAAGATATAGTAAGAAAAGGCGCGCGATTATCGCGTGGTTCTGAGATATTTTAGAATCGCCGACTATTTGAAGATAGCTCAGGTGATCCTTGTCACTCCCCCGCGGGCTCTTCCGCACGAGACCACACACATACACACACACACACACAACGACTAGTTAGACAGCGAGCACACTGCTGCTGAACGACGCAAGCTTCCTTGAGACCTTGAGACATCAAAGTCTCAAATATATTTTCATACTAGTTGTGGGATCCTTCAACAAACCTCAATTACTTTATTACCGCATTTAACCGTTAATTCTAATGTTAATTTTATTTTGGAAACTCAGTGTGCCTAGTTCGAATTTTGTTAAAGATCTCGATCGCGCAAAAATTTACTAAAGTTTGTATGGAGTTGGAACTTTTGCGTACGTTTGCCGCTAGGGGCGCTGTTCCAACTGCATACAAATTTGAGTTAACTTTTACGCGATCGAGAACGTTAAAAACTCACACTGAGTTCACAGAGCTGATGGGGGCACGCGTGCTCGGCGGGACGCTCCGAGTGCGTCCCTGTGCTACAGTACAGTCGGTAATAAAACAGATTTCAAACAATGAACTGGGTTACATTAGGCTTCATTGTGTCCCTTTGTTTTTTAATTTAGAAATTTCGAATAAAGAAAAATTCGTTTAGCTCCTTGTACGGGACTTGTTACCATTTGGAACTGAGTTGTGAGGACAGCTGGACGCGCTACAGACCAGCGAAAATATAGAAGTGGTTCCGTGTGTGTAATGTAGAGAGGTACAGATAAGACTCTCACTGGTGGTAGGACCTCTTGGGAGTCCGCACGGGTAGGTACCACCACCCCGCCTATTTAATTTCCGCCGTGAAGCAGTAATGCGCTTCAGTTCGAAGGGTGGGGTAGCCGTTGTAACTATAGTGAGACCTTAGAACTTATATCTCGAGGTGGGTGGCGCATTTACGTTGTAGATGTCTATGGGCTCCAGTAACCACTTAACATCAGGTGGGCTGTGAGCTCGTCCATCCATCTAAGCAATAAAAAAATAAAAAACTCTCCATGTAACTCTGTTTCATCGACTAGGAATTAAAAAGGGGGCGGTTCTCGATTTGTACTTGTGTAGTCTTCATTAGTGTTTTAATTGTATTAGTGCACAGGCTGTAAATGGATAGAATTACTTGTGGTAAACAGGAATATATAATTAAAAAAAAATAATTTTTTATTAGATTTGTGCGGACAACAAATGGTAAGAAATATTTTACAATATAAAGTGAATTATGCATTTTGCAAATGCAACTAATGCACTTTTTCTTACCTAAGCTGATGGTCTTGACAAACCATTTCACGAGGCTCAAACCTGACGAAGTTGTTAACACTGACCTTAACAAGAGCAGTGCCTCGCAGAATCTATCACCGGATCGGAAACGCGACCCACTGAGAAGATCCAGTGAGAAACTCAGTGGGCTGTGTCTGTGGGTTAATTTACTAGCCGAGCCCTCGACGAGAATGTAAATGCTACGAGTATCTTGTCTGTCTGTTTGTTACACCAGGTCGACCCCTAATCTCTGTGTCCGGGTCCGATCCTCCCACCCCCGCCATATCTACTGACGGAACATCGCTCGGTCGGTCGCATCTATATCGAAACAAATATTTAGTCTATAAATAATTCACACATAAAATACGTCCGTATTTTTGTGTACACTTTGCGTGACAAATCCTTAAATAATACAACGGTAACGCTCACGGGACATCACCGGGAGAACGCAGGGCTGCCCGGATATCCGATGTGACGGAAATAATCTGATCTGATCGGTCCTGAGTCTCATCCTACGCGTGCTGTCTTGTAACGTAGTCAGCATAATATCAAGAACTGGTTTAATTGAACTCTCTTAAATTGATTAATTAAACACTCTTCTTTCTCTCAGTATAGCAACTGTTTTCTCGTCAGGTCGTTATTGTCAGTATCAAGATTATAAAATCTTCAGGTTTTAGTTAAACACATGTGTGTGTATATACTTTGTGTGTGTATACTTTGATATATGGAAACGGGGACTATAATTTATTATTGATTTTATTGAATTTTCTTTCATACAATTGTTTTAAACGATATTCAGTTTTTTTTTACATCCTCTTTTACGATATTTGCAGCACGCATTCTGTCAATGTTATGTTAAACGCCATATTAAGGTTACATTAGAAATTCATTAAAAAAATTAATATGGTAGTTATTTATTGTCAAATTTTCTAATTTTGCGCGCGCAATTTTCTTAATTTTTCTTTCTTAAAAACATTCTCTTGACAATAACAAACACAACAAAATAAGAATTATCCAATTTGTTGTCGGCGTAAAAAAAAAATCGTAAAATTGTAATCAATCGAAATGAAATATAGATCCAGTGAAATCTTAGGAGCTTACTGAGAGCACCATTAACTGTACTCCTCGGCAGCAACCCTGCGCCGCCAGAGCTGATTTACGACGAGCCGAGAGGGTAGTTTCACCCCCACCCCGAGCGACTGACGCGGGCCACATACTGTCACACGCCGCCTTAATAACGCACGTAAATATCTTAAGGAAATCGGTCATGGATTACCCGACTGTTCCAGTGGGGGGGTTTATCAGTTCTACCTCGTTGAACTGCGCTTCTGCGTACAACCCGTCTAGTAATAAGCGGTTATGTCGTATCAAATAACGGTCGTCGAAACAGGACGCAGTGGGGCGGCGGCCCCTGCTCGGGGGGTCATGTCGCGCCCAAAGCCGTCCCAAAGCACTATTTCGATCCAATTTTGAACGTCCCGGTCCCTTAACATCGGGTGGCCAGATAACAAGTAACGCATTAACAGATGAGAGCGCACACTTCATTTAATATCGTTCGCTCCGTTGTTCCAAGAAGCAGCTATGCAAATCAACACAGACCTACTTTGGTTCTTCTTGTTATTACTTTTATTGCTTAAATGGATGGACGAGCTCACAGTCCACCTGGTGTTAAGTGGCTACCGGAGCTTAAAAGTCGCCACCCACCTTGAGACATAAGTTCTAAGATCTCAGTACAGTTACAACGGCTGCCCCACTCTGCAAACCGAAACGCAATACTGCTTCACGGCAGTAATAGGCGGAGTGGTGGTACCTACCCGTGCGGACTCATAAGAGGTCCACCAGCAAAATTATTAGTATGAGTGTGTTACTAGACTCAGCAGTTCTGGTCTGCGACTTAAATCAAATTAATTCAAAAGTCGGTTATACTCCAGAGACTAACCCTTGTAATTTGTGAATAGTTTGAGGAAGTCGTAAAATAAAAGTGTTACTGTGTGTTGATTTCAATGAATCGCAGTCCCTTAGCGCGCGCAATGTAACGCATACAGCTGACAGGGTCAACGACCATGCACCAGATTTGTCTGTTTACATTGCGGGCAAACTATAAAGTATTCGGAATGTCGGATGTAATGACAATAATAACACTAATGATACTAATGAAACTAATAAGTAATAACGTAAGAATAGTTTTAATGACATGCACGATGTTTGTCATCTTAGCGACAAATCGTGTCAGGAGTCATTGACGGCTCCCTCGCAATTTTAATTGATTGTCCTCTAAAAACAAATATGTATAAGAAAAACGATTATATATATACGTATTTATATAGTACGTACCCATGTATTTCCAAGGGAGCCCTCCAGGCGCCTGTCACACTTTCAGAATAATTCAATACGTTATTTTAATTGAACAATAAATCCACACACACACCCACACTCACACACACACACACACACACTCACGCGCGTATTTATGGTAGAAGATCCTCAGCCAATCAGCCCAAACGCTACCCCAGACTATCACCCTCTAACTACATCTCCTTCCCAAGCCTTCATCCTTCCTTCCTGATTGTAGCCCAACTATTCGGGTGTTCTACGTGTACCAGTCCACGCGTTTTCCCCGAGAGTACGCCGCGCGGCAAGGCTGCAGTCTAGACCGTCTCAATCCCACCAGACCTACCTCACGTGTGAAGGCATGCTACGATATTATTTCGCGACGTGGACAGACCCGGGTACACGCTGAGCAGGCTCATCAACTGGTACTTTCTTTACAATAACATGAGGAACGGTTGCCCTATCGACCGCACCGACCACACGGTATACCAGCTAGGTTGACCTCTAGCTGGTATACCGTGTGTGCAAGTCAGGGGTCACCTGACGCGGAGGTCGATGTGGTCTCGCCACTTACTCCTTGAAGCTGTTGCATCAACTTCGTTATCTTGTTTCGTGCTGTGCGACACACTATGGAACTGTAGCTGTCCATTCTCAACAGGACCGCGGGGAGAACTTCCTTTGACTGTTACCGAAAAATCTATTTAGCTCCCATTTCCTAAGGGGGTCTGCGAACAAATATTACTAATGTGGCGGGTAGCCATCATTGAACACAAGACATTCGACAGATGCCTGAATCTGGCTAACGATATCAACAACATAAGCTTGCATATATACAAGTTCCGAACAACAACATACGGACCGTCGCCGCGTCGGTCTACTGAGCAATGTCACCCGCTCGGTGGAAGATCTTTCCTTTCGTCTTTAATTCCCACACTAGCACGATTCTTGTCCAATCAAGTAGACAGTCCGCCCGCGCGGCATCCAAAGGATACGAAAAGGCAAAAGAGAAAACAATTTTCGATAAACTAAAATGAGTATATCATCAATATAGTCGAAGCGAATTAAACGTGCATTATTAAAGATAGTCCAAAAACGACTGGTCCGATATAGAAACGATTTAAATGGGGCAACACGAAAACTACCGACTTCGGAATAATAAAATACCCTCAAAATAGATTCATCAAGACAAAAGTTTTGAGATAAATACAATCTAACCCGGAAACACTATCGGTGCTTTTAGGCTCTTCAAGCACCAGTCACCGTCCTGACTGTCGAGTCAACTTGTCGACTCCGACGACCAAACCACGCGCATAGACACAGCCCACTGAGTTTCTCGCCGGATCATCTCAGCGGGTCGCGATTTCCATCCGGTAGTAGATTCTCCGAAGCACTGCTCTTTATACGGCCAGTGTTAGCGCATTCTCTCAGGTTGAGCCCATGAGCTCACTTACCGGTCCGCGTGAAGTTGGAATAGCCCAACTACTGCCAACGGCTACCAACGATAAGGTGAGGAAAAAAACAATCGTATTGACAGTCTCTTCCTTTTTTGGGTCAGTTAAAAAGATTAAATTGATGTGGTGGTACCGTATGCTGTTTAATCGTCTTTTAACTTCTACAATGTTGGGAGGCTTAGCAGAGCGAAGTGCGGCTTCACGCCCGGACAGAGACTGGTACTGCGCGGTGTCCGGGGGTCCGCCGAGTCTTTGCCTAAGTCTACCGCGAGCTGCCACGCTATTAAACAATAGAACAACCGTTGTTTTATAGAATTGACACCTCGACCTCATCCTATGATGTCCATGGACTCTACTAACTTTACACTAGACGGGCCGTGATCTTGGTGTCCGATCTAGACGTAATCAAAACTACGTACCCGCAGCCGTCACTGGACATCGTTGCAGTCGATATAAACCATCGACAATCGACCTCACATCCTTACACGATATAGACTATGAATAATATTTAGAGAGGAGGGCGGGGTAGCATCGATCATTGATAAAAATACAGGCCAGGTCGCGACTAGCTGCGAACTATCTATATATTAATAAGTGAAGCAAAAACTTTGTAACACTTTTTACGAGAATTGCGCGGACGGAGGAGTATGAAATTTCCCACACTTATAAAGAATATAGAGAAGGAGTGCAGATGCTACTTTTTTTTTAATTATGCATGTAAAATACATTAAATCAATAAAAATAAAAATATTACACGCACTACCATGTAATAGACACACACGCATATATGTATACTATTTTTTGTTGTTGTTAAAGTCTGTGGTCAAATTGAGAATAGATTAATATTGTTTGTCTTTAATATTATTTGTTTATAGTGTTGTAGTCTTAGAGAAATCTGTGATAGTAAAAGTATAGTTCTTGAAAATAGAACCTGATAATATTCAAACGTACAATTTCAATTAATTATAGTCGAATTTCGACTACTGCGGGACCACTAGTACGTATTATTGCGTCACTGGTATTATTAGGTGATTATACTTCAACAACTACAAATCTCCATTATGTTTGATTGATATTGTTGTTGACTCGTAAAACTATCCATAGTCGAAAGTGTCATGGAATAAAAAAAATCTGATAATAACTAGAAACGCGCTAATGACATTTCTAGAAGATAAATTTTCCCAATTTCAAATATATATTTCATAACCGAAATATTATACGATTTACAGGGTTTTTTTTCCTACCTATTCTAGTAACCTCAAGGAGTTATACTAGGCTCGCAGAGCGAGTAGGAGAATTTGCTAACACTAGACCTAACAAGAGCAGTGCTTCGCTGAATGTACCACCGGATCTGAAACGCGACCCACTGAGAAGAATCTGTGATAAGCTCAGTAGACTGTACCGTCTGTATATCTACATAATATATGGACGTATTGGGTTTTCATTAAGAACTATTTTGTAAATGTTTTGGAGTCGCGAACCTCTACGCTACGAGTGGTCAACCAGCGCGCCTCCAACACTGGGGCTCACAGCTCCCTGAATTTAAAATATATAAATAAAACCTCGTCCCACCACCATAATGGTAATGCCAGTTGATCTAATTGTAGCGTATGTGCTACTACCTACTCCTTCTTCGCGGAAGCCATTCGGACACATGCGTTGGAACAGTGTGTGCTGGTGCTGTACTGCCAGCTGACGGTGGAGACGTAGCTGGAAGTGGCTGGGACTGATCGCAGCTTAGGATTTAGAGTACTATCATAGACTTTCTCTAGCCTTATTCATTTTCCCCCTATAAGAACGGGTCGCGCAATTTTTTCACAACAAAAAGATTGGAGCATTGGAGACTAGTTTTGTCGTGAAATAAAAAAAATCTTCCATACAAAACCTTTCATGCTTTATGTGAAAACTTACAAAATAATAATGTTTTAAGTCGTATTTTTATATTCGAACAGGTGGTTGATAGAACGCGGTCAGCAAATACAAAACACGCACAAGCCCCGTGAGTGCTCGCCAGCAACTGACGGACGCGGCCGCGCGGAGCTGCAGCGCGCACGCGTTCTACCATTTCAAATGATCATAGAATCAAAAGTTCAAAATAGATGTGTCATATTTTAGCCACAGCCGAACTGCTCTTTTCCGGTAACACTTATTTGAAGAAAGAAATTTTCATAGCAATGAAGCATCTTTTGCGAGTATGTTGAATTTTTTGACAATAACAACAAGCCAATGTTTACTGTTATTGAGGCAAACCGTCAAGTCAAAAAAAGTAAATATAAAAGTAAACAAAGGTATGTAAAGAAAATCCTATATCATTTAAAACCTTTAAAAACTCTTTAATTTGAATAAAAGATTTTTCTTAGACGGAATTAATTACTCATCTGTCTGTCATTTAACGAAAAGAGTGTAGTTTTGTATAGTATAATTATACATTTTAAAATATAATTTTTTATTATATCACAGAAAACGCAATTAAAGTCTTTTATTTTTTATTCATTCTGAAATATTTCATATAATTATGTATATGTATTTAAAATATATAGCGTTATGTAGTTACTGAAGCCAGCATGTTCAAGCACACTTGACAAAAAGACAAGATATTGACAACTTAACAAACTCTAAGGAATTAACGATGGACTAAGTTTAAAACTCAGTGAATCGTACGTTGTGTTTTTCTTTTCCTAAAAGAAGTGAACAAAGTGCACATTTTTTGCTGAGCCTTGACATTTTACCGAAATTTCGTAATTTGTTTTTGTACTTTTTTTTAGACTGTATTTTTATTCTAAAATATAGACGAGCATACAACCAACCCGATGCTTTTTTTTCTACCTATGCTGATAGCCTTGAGAGGCTATTTCAGCTTTACCCTAACGTTTGTAGGTGAGCTCACGGGGCTCAAACCGGAGAGTTGCTAACACTGACCCTAGTAAGTGCAGTGCTTCGCAAAATCTACCACCGGATCGGAAATGCGACCCAGTGAGAAGATCCGGCGAGAAACTCAGTGGGCTGTGTCTATGGGTTAATTCGCTCGTCGAGCCTTTCGTCGCAAGCGACGGGTTCGACGAGGACCGTGACCGGTGCTTGTGGTGCCTAAAAACACCGTTAACGGATCAGGAGGATCTACGATACACATGGACGTTAGCTCGTGAAATGGTAACATATCGTAAAATTTAGCATCTCAGAGACGTCAGATTATTAGGCATTATAAAATCTCCACTTTACTGTCTACAAATCCCAGGATCTTTGAGAAAGCCGCAATATATATATATTTTTATTATACGTTGAAAATTAGCGTCGTATCGATAGGTAATAGTGATTTCAGTTAATACAAGACACGCCCGGGGTTCTGCCCGCACCCACCGCGCTCCGAATAAAAAAATTCACACACAGACACATCAGTTTTACTTATTTTCTATAATATGTAAAAAGTATTTTGTATGAACTCACGCCTTCTAACAAAGTGAAAAGAAATGAACAATAAACATTTACTATTTTCAAAACAATATAAGATGTGAGAATTGAAACGGCATTGTATTGGTTCGCTCTCGCACAATCCATTCAAAATATATTTGCTCGGATGGCAGATGAGACCGCCCGTCTCCACCGAAGCCGTTAGCTTTAAATTTCCACTTCTCTACTTCTTCCACAATATTGTGTCTTAGATAACTTTATTTGTGATGCAAATTTCAATGCGAAATAAGTCTCTTTTAAACACAATATACTTTTTTTGGTGAATATGGGATTACTGTCCTGGAGGCTTTTCCAGTTTCACCAGGACAGGTGGGCGAGCAAGGGCTCAGTCAGGAGGGGTGGGATTTGCTAACAGCCGCTCGAGCGCTTCCGAAGGAAACCTAACAACTCAAGAGCAACTGCTTCGCGAATGAATCTACTACCGGATCGGAATCGCGACCCGCTGAGAAGACCCGGCGAGAGCACAATAATATCGAGGAGCCAACAGACATCAACACGCGAGGCGCGAGGGAACAGGACGGGGGTCGCGGGGGGCGTGGGGCGGACGCGCCACTACCGAATCGATGATTGAATTTATAATTCATAAAATCCATTAAAGTAATGGAGTGATATTAATTGTATACAAAAAAAGTGAAAAAAAAGTGTGTGTGTCCGCTCCGACGCACGACTGGAGTTTACTGGATATAAAAAATTAAACGAAACAATACGAGAAATAGTTCTATATTACGACAACACGATACACTACAGATTATTAACAAATTAACGAGACACAAAACAAACGACTAACAAATATATGAAAATACAATAATGAGAGAAACGCGCGATCAGTACGAGGCTTTGTGGCGGACTGCCGGCGCAGGCGCATAACGCATTTCGTGTGACATGCTAGTACGATTTTGGTCCCCATAATTTTCATACCCCGGGCCTATATATGTAAATCGATTCTAAAGGAGTAAACTCCAAAAATGAAACTTCTTTTGCGGTGTTTTGGTTTTAAATCCAATTTCTCTTGTAATAGGGAATGCTTTTTATAAGAGAAACGACCTCTTCAACATTTATATATAGTTTAAATTATATAGAGAAAAATAAATATTTCTTTTTTTAAATCCTAAATTAAAAATAAAATATAAGATAGTTAATCTGTTACTGTCATCTACAGGAGCAATGAGAAACTAATAACAAGCCATCTAGTGGCCGACGCCCGTAAACAGAATGTGTATAAGAGAAACGACCTAGCTCTCCACGGTCGTGCGGTTCGCGAGACGCTCTGTCTATTTTCTCACTCTCGTTCGTCCTAAATTGTATCTTTTCTCTCTAGCCGTAACGAATCTGTCGCAAGTTAAATTTTAAGCTCAGTGCACCTAAAAAAACTTCACTTCATAAACATTAAAGAGATTCAAAGTATATGTTCAAACGGCATGTGTGCGACCCAAAAGACATCTTATACCACCACTCCACCTCGTGCCGTGAACCAGCAATGTGTTCCAGCTTGGAGGGGGAGGGCATTAAAGCTGCTCATCATGCTCCACATCAATAACCCGTTCGCAATCATATTACTACGCTAAAACACAACATACCGAGTTTGTGTAACATGACCGCATTATTAGCGGGCGTGTAAGGCCGCCCGAAGCACAAAGCTTGCGGTTTGAACTTGGAAGTTGCCGATCATCCCCCGTTAAGCTGACTCATGGTAGCGTTGCGACGGTTTAATGTAATCTGAATATCGGACGCGCTGTCGATTAGGACGACGTGTGTAGAGGAGTCTCCCGACTCAGGGTAGGCCGTAGTTCAGAGATCAGAGATTGTTTCAGGAGCTGCAGTAATTGATGACGATGGCTCCATGTTTCAAGCTACAAAGACGATTTCGGTTCAGATTTTTATGGTCGCCCGCCGCGCAGACATACTGGAAAATTATCTTTTTTAAGATTAGCGTAATACAGTAGACCAGCGGTCGGGGAACCGGGGTAAATTACCCCAAATGGGGTAAAATGAAATTTGGGGGGGTAAAAATGAAACTTTTGTGAGTAAAAAGTATATATTAAAGTGAAACTTCTTTAGAATCGTTAAATTATCATGGGGGCTATAATATGAAAGATACTACAAAAAAAGCGATTTCGTTTTTTTTTTGTTTTTCGCCATAGGGCAATATCAACTTACACAAAAATAATTTGGGGTAATAATTAAAAACCTTCCCCGACCGCAGCACTAGACGAATAGACAGACTCACGAAAGAGTAGACAGATGAAGGAAGAGAAGCAAGATGGAAGAAGATACACAACACACGAACCAGCACCGTATCACTCTTTTTATTTTACTTCATTTTTATTGCTTAGATGGGTGGACGAGTTCACGGCCAGTTAAGTGGTTTATGAAGCCCAGAGACATCTACAACGAAAATGCCGCCACACACCTTGAGACATTAGTTCTAAGGTCTCAGTATAATTACAACAGCTGCTCCACCCTTCAAACCAAAACGCTTTACTGCTTCACGGCAGAAATAGGCGGGGTGGTGGTACCTACCCGTTCGGACTCACAAGACGTCCTAGTACAAGTAATCTGAGAGAAGGGGGAGGGGGTGCACTCATGGCGAAACACACACACAGACATATGACATTCCGTTTATTGAGATTAATAGTTCGAATATTCCTAATCAGGCAACACTGCAGATTAAAATGCTTGCGTAAGTGTTGCCACGTTGCCAGCGCCGCAGTAATTAACGCGATACGCTCGGAGCACTGATTAATTAGGTTTTAACTCAGTTTTTACACGTCTCACTGGCCTTTAATTGGATATATACTTATAGTTAGACGGGCTGTGAGTTTGTCCGCCCGTTTTGATGACTACACACCGCTCGTTCTATAAAGAAAGCAAGGTTTATCTAATTAAATGGTATCTCCGTCGCCTTCTGGGTAGAAAGACTTCAAATCGTGGTCACGAAAATATCATGAGCGGTCAACCCTGGACCCCGACGGCAAGGGGATTGATGTCGGGGGTGAGGAAGGGCTCGGCCGGGCCGTTGACGATGTCGTCCGGCGTCCCATAATATTTACAAATAAAATATTTTGACCGAAACGTGAACGAGAGTCCTGTAGTGGTGGATGTGGCATTTCACCTTGGACGAGTTTTACAATCTTTGGATGTGCAATGCAATCTATATTCTATAATAAATTTCTTTTATATTATTACGAGCTAGGTCTCGCGATAAATAAAACACTGCACAATTCGCAATTCGATTCTTCTACCTCGCCTTAGATGATCTTTTCGCTTCGAGTAGACCTGAGTACTGCCCTCATGTCATCTCTGCAATTCTGATCCACTAACGGTGCTTTTAGGTACCCCAAGCACCGGTCATCGTTCTTGTCGAGGGCTCGACGAGTAAATTAACCCCTAGACACAGCCCACTGAGTTTCTCGCCGGATCATCTCAGTGGGTCGCATTTCCGATCCGGTGGTATATTCTGCGAAGCACTGCTCTTGCTAGGATTAGTGTTAGCAACGACGCCAGGTTTGAGCCTCGTGAGCTCACCTACTAG